AAGGGTGGGTTCTTTGCCCTCTAGGGAAAGAATTCATCAGAGTCTGTTAGGTGTAGTTAGACTCATACATGAGGGAGTCAGTGTGGGAAAGGAGAATTTAGCCTCACTTCTCCAAGGGAATTAGTAAGAGTTATTTAAAGAGTAGGTCCAGAGTGGGGTGGGAGCGTGGAAGATCACAGGTCATAGCTTGTTCTGGGTTGGGCTCCACACAGGCATGCAGAGGAGTTACACTCCAACTAATAGGAGGGCTCTCAGCCTTCTCCCTGCAGGACATTGGGAGATAAATCATTAGTCATGATACAATGTTTTTGTCTATCATGATGCCTCATGGCCAGTGTGATGGACCAAACTGGACAGGGCTCTCCAGTCCATGATTTAGTCCACCAGTTCAAACATGACTGGGGGCAACTCATCCTATCAGCTTACAGGTTTTTTATCTATGCCCTGTCACTGCTGTGAGATTATTTTTCTGGTTCTGACTATAATGACAGTACTAAAAGTCGATGTGATTTTTTTTTTCCTGTCCTGTTTTGATACTGAATTTAGTTGTTCTGCATTTTACCCTGAAATGTTTGGGAAAGAGATGTTAGCAACAGGACTGCTAAGTGGCATGGGAAGACTCTGACTACTCTTTGAAAGTTTTCCTTGCATAAAAAGCATTATTCCTGCTGTCTGCTGCCTAATTTATTTTTCGTCTTGTTTGGCCTCCTGTACTTCAGTGGTATACATGTGCCATATATGCACTGCTTTGTTACAGCTTAATTGTATATGTTATATAAACCTGAGCCATAATGTAAACTTTTTAAGGATAGGAAAAGAATCTGAAACTTACTTTTTTTTTTTAAATGAAACTCACTTAGTTTTTCCCCTTGGTATATGGAAAAGGTACTTTCTGTATAGAAGATAGCAACTATGGTTTTTTGTTCTTGTTTTTGGTTTTTTGTTTTGGTAACAATTACCATTTGCCATTGACGAAAGTAATCTTTTGCTGGTTCCTGTTTAGCATAAGTACAGAAAATAAGTATTTCTGATTTTCATTTATGCTTTCCATATATACAGTTGAAACTTTTTAGCAATTTAATTATGTTATTCAAGTTCTTATAAATTTAAAGATTGTTTGACTTTACTAACACATATTTATAGTTGATATGGCGTCTTATTTGATCTACTTATATTGAGGTAATAGTGTAATAATTAAATATTATGGCAATTAAGTTAAAAAAAATTCCTATCACACCTGTAATCATAAAGCAAGAAAGTTTACTATTTCTTTATTTACACATTCTGTTTCTTTTGTTTCTGTTTATTTACATATTCTGAATATGTAAATAAAAACTAGCAATGATTTTCTCAATTTCTCATAGTACTAAGTTATAGAACAGGAATTGGTAGCAGATAATACCACAGATTAAACAAATAAAAATATGTGAAAATCAAGGCTTGGAAATGAATACAAATAAGAACTAACTTACTGTTACAATAGTTTGGATAATAGGAGTAAGTCATTTTACTGAAACAGGATTGCACTCTTTTTGGTAAATCTAAGACCCTGGTACTAAGGAGGAGTTATTATGGCTAATTGTACCTTGGAAGAGAACTACTTTTAATAATTTTTAAATATAAACTCCTTCAAAAAATTTATATGGAAATTAATAACTATCTTTGAAACTTTTTGAGTGTGACCAATGGTAAATAGTTTCATTTTAAAGTATATGTTTGAAATACCTTTGAAATGTTTTTACCTCATATAATTCAATTTTTTAAAAATGAGGTTTATGGCAAGAAATGGATACTGTTTTGTCCAGATTTCGTCTTTCTATAACTGATTTTTTTCTTTTTCCTGAGGGGTTAGGGCTGGTTTTGGTAATGTTAGGTACTGGTATAGACATCAATAACACAGTTAAGCAATAGAGTTATATAATAGAATTAGACAAGGCTAACTGACCTCTATATCTGTATCTATATCTACATATATATCTATCTGTGAATTCAACACCGCATTTCTTGTGACTTATCTTCACATTGAAGTGAGAGAGGCTGTTCATTAAGATATACGAAAACATACTTCTATTTTTATTTTTTAATTTCTCGTTTCAATTTTACTTGTAATATATTTAACACAGTACACTACACACGCCATCTGTGTAAAATAGCTGCACATGTGACTGTGCTTGCATATTTACTAATAGGAGCACTTAGTAAAAATTTGAGCACCACAGTTCTGACAAAGTAGCTACTCAAAGAGGAGAGATGCCAAAGGTTAAGATGTGATCTTTTGAAAGTGAAAAGCAAATGTCCAGTGACGAAAATATAGTAAAAGATAAGTCAGTAATTACAGCCTAGAATTTCACATTGCTCAAGGGACTCACTTATGTATTCTTCATATACTTTACTCATTATACACAAAAAATGATTCCTGTTATCTACTTATCAAGCTTGAAGGCATGTTAATAGCTACAACAAGACTACATACAACTTTAAAATAGTTTGAAGCACTTTGAGCTTAGACACAATTTTTTCACTTATAAAGGGCAATTCATTTTCCATTTGTATATTACCTTTATGAAGGCTGCTTTTAAACTAGGAGGGAACTGTTATGAATGTTGCCTCTGTTATTCAAGGGATAATCTGTTTTGTCATTCAGGGGATAACCTGTTTGTGTCTTTTGTTTTTTCCTGGTAGAGAGAATGCAAAGTAAAATTTAAACAAATTTAAAACAAATTATAAATTGAGATAAAGGGAAATGTTAATACTCTTGGCTTTCCAAAGTTACTAAAACTTGTAGGTATTGCTTTTATAGCTGAAAAAAAAAATGTACAAACCGAGATGATTTCTAGTAGTAGAACTATGAACAGTCTATATGTATATCTAAGTTTCCTATAATGGGAGGAGAAGGTAGGAAAAGAGAAAAGACACAAATAGTAAAGAATAGAAAATAAGTCACACAAAAGCATTACAAAATAGGGAGAAAGTTATAAAGGTTAGATCAAATTTGTTAAAACAATAGATATAAGTAGGAAAAACTTTATTTTCTATAAGAAGATGACTTATTACAAAGCTTTTTTAAAAGCCTACTTATATACTATTACAAAAGAAACACATAAACAAAATTATACAAAGGAACCTGAAAATGAAAGAATAGGCATACCAAGCAAATTATAATAGAAAGTGAAAGGGCTGTCATAATACTGAGCTTGGCGGAATTTAAAGTAAAAGGAAATAGGTGTAGCAGATTAAAATGGTGAAGGATGTATAAGCCACAATGATGATGTTGGCTCACTAAACACCAAATTAAGCAGAATTAAAATGTAGATGTTAAAACATTACAAGAAATAAAAATTGTTAAATCTCATAAGTCATTCAGAAATTTTAGAGTACTACATATGTGATTGATCAGATTGCTAATAATAATATTCCCATATTTTACATTTTCATTTCAGATGGTGTACAAGACATATTCTGTAAACAGAAAATGTATCTTGACACTCAGAATGATTTAAAAAATTTCAGGTAATGCCAAAGATTAGAAATAGATCACACTGGATTCTCTAACTGCAGTGAAATAAAATTAGAAATAAGTAATAAACATAGGAGGTAATTTAATAATTTTCAGAGCTTCTCTTACAACTTCTGTTAGGTTAGAGAAGAAATTAGAACTGTAGTTGTAAGATGTATAAGTGATAATAAGTTCAGATTCACTGCATTTTCTTTTGTTTTCTGATAAAATATTAATTATGTATTCTGGTGTCAAGGTTTCTAAGCCCTCTGTAATGTGCAAGGTATTTTGTTTGGTGTGAGATATGGCTCCACATCTTGGGTGCACAGTAGAATTACTTCAGTGTGTACATATGAAAGATCCTGTAGTTGTTTTTGTAACAAAATTATAGAGTATCATAAATTTTAATTTTCATTAGCTGGGTACCTGTGATACTCATATGAGAAGTAGATAGAGTAAAAATAGATTAAATGCATTGTGGTGAATGTCTAGCTATCTTAGTTCCTTTTTACCTCTGTCACCTATTAGCAGCTCTGTTATCTGGGATAATTCAGTTTTATTGCTGAATTTATTGGGTTTTACATTCTTAATGCATCAGTGAGGATGCTGAATTAAAATATAAGGTTCCTTGTACATACTATTTTTGCGTAGTGGTGAAATAAATTTTAAATAGGTATTGAGCATTGGCTCTTTTTCAGTCTACAGGTACTAACCTTATTCAGGGGTTGAAAGGGTGGGGGGAAATTAACAGGATTTCTTGCAGAGAAGGGCATGTATATCATAAACAGAAAAGACCAGAGGTAGAAAAGAAAAGACATTGGGAAAAGTTTTACAGAGACATTGTGTTGCCTGAGATGGTCTTCAAGCTAAGAGTTTGTTAAATGAATAGGAAGCAGAAAGTTCTAGACTCGGGAAAATAGGGTGTATAAATACAGAGGAAAGAGAGTTTCACAATTGTGAGATTGCAGTTAGTTTGAGTGGCACTAGTAGTTAATAGTTAACATGAGTTTATTAAGGACAACCAAGAGAGAAAGTATTGAGGTATTGAGGTATATAGGAGTCACATAATGAAATATATGGACTTAATGATTGTGAATAATTATTGAAATGTTTCTTAGCAGATATGGGAAGTAGCACTGTAAGGCTTAATTGGCATGAATATAAAGATAAAAGAAAACTAGCAGTCTAGGTGCCATATAATAGAATCTTAGAGTAATGGCAGTGGAGATGAACATCAATTTTATATAGAATAGGTTTCTGAAATGGATGGGCTCCATAGAACCATAATAGAGCTAGAAGTATGTGCAATATTTAATATCTCAGTGTATTTCCTTTTGGAGAGAGTCTATAATAATTTAATTGGATCATTTATGAGGACTATTGGGGTTAATTATGTTTTATAGGAAAATTGACAGACTAACATTCAACAAACTATGAACTTCAAATAAATTAAATTTATGTTATTGATTAATGACTAATCTTATTTTTTTTTTCACTTTTGTAGTGGACAGGCCAAAATCTCAGCAAGTTCGAACCTCTAGTACAATAAGGCGAACCTCTTCCTTGGATACGATAACAGGACCTTACCTCACAGGACAGTGGCCACGGGATCCTCATGTTCATTACCCTTCATGCATGAAAGATAAAGCTACTCAGGTAAACTATAAGAAAATCAAAACAATTATATTGCCCTGCAGTTGTTCTGTTTTGGTCACAGTAAAGAAAATCTAATTTAGTCAGATTTCCCAGAGAAGAAAGTCATTTCTTTTAATAAGCTTTAGATTATTTATTAGCTAGCTTAAAAAATATTTAGACTTATTTATATTGAATAAATAACACATCAGTCTTTATTACATGGTTTTATTTTATTCTATTTAGTTTTATGAATTATTTTACAACAGAAATTCACTAATGACTAGTAGTTATATTAAAAAATATAGTTTTTATAGAACAGTTTGCATAGTTCTTAGAAATATTTTTTAAAGTATTAACATGTGGTTAAGAAAATTTATATTAAAGGATTTTAGTGTGTTTGATGTCACTGAAAACCTGAGGAGAAAAATGGAAAATTTATCATTTTCATATTTGTGAAAGGTAAATTTTCAATTGAAAAGCTTTTCCTTCTGTGTCAGGGAAAAAAATCTGAAAACATCTTAATTTGATTAGCCAATTAACATTTATTGACATCGTGAAGGATACTAAAAGTATGTACGACATGATTGGTTGTATCTTTAAAGAACTTACAGCATAGTTAGAAATATGTAAATTTATGAAAATTGGGAATAGTAGATAGTGTATAATTAGATATAGGTAAGTGGAACATTTCAAAGTGAGGAAACTCAAAAGAATGACAACATTTTGGGTTTTGTAGCTTAGGGAAATAGAAGATTAGAGTTTCATCTCTGAAGAAGTATAAAAAGAAAAATTTTGGCACATCTATAAAAATCATGTCATTTTTCTAATTTTCTCAGACAAACTTGAAACTGAAATTAGCTTTTTATCATCCATCCTAGCAATTCTTTCTTTGTAATAGTCAGTGCCACCCCCAATCTTTTACTTTTCTCTCTTTGTTTTATTAAAGAGAGGATTAGTTTGATATTATAGACAGTGAGGGTCTCAAGTAGAAAAAAAGCTAAGCAAACTATGGATGTATTGAAATAGACCCAGATAATTCAAAACCACTTTTCTGGAGGTGTTGGGTTCACATTTGGATGAAATATGGGAATAACATATAAAGGAAAAGGGTCAAGGGACCAAGGAGCCAAATTTTGGAAAAGCATACAAAGGAAAAAGAAAATTCCTCGTTGGAAATTACCATTTCCCAATTGTCCGACATGTTATTTTTCATGTCATGTTTTGTATTGCATTTAGTTATCATGTAAAATTACACAGATAGAGAAGCAGAAATCCAGGGAAGTTAAGTGACTTACTCAAGGTAAAAAAAAAATGATTGTGTTGGGCTAGTTTTCTAATGCATGTTAATCTTCTACCAATATGAAGTTCAGTGTTAGGGGACTGCGTGTGTACCTGCACATGTTTATAAGTGTAGTAACTGACACTGTATTTAAAGATGGTAGCTATTATTTTCAGATTTTTTTAAAAAGACCCTACATTTTATTGAATATACGCTTTATGCTCACACTATTCAGAAGCATCATTTTACTCGTCCTTCACAAATACTGAAAAAGGGACCAGAGAAAGAGCCATAGTTAAGATAACTAAAAGAGTTGACATAAACGAACTTTAGGAAGCTATTCTAAGTAAGAAAAAATTCTTGAAAGTACTAGTTCCTAAAGAGAAGTCATGGAAAATGAGAACTGGGCTTATGAATTAGGATACATTGTCTTGAATGTGCTATTAATGTGGTAGAGGAGGAAACCCAGACACTTGGGAGTTAGGAGGCGAATGATATAGAGACAGATGGGGAGGTTTCTTAAACATGTCTCTCTATCTTTGCAATGGGATTAATGAAACCTGATTCACAATACTATTATTTGACTAAATATTTAATATATAAAAGCGAATGTAACACATGTTTGGTTATTAGTAGTAGATAGAAGCATGCCCAGTTATAACATCTGAAGGATCTGGTGCAAATATAAATGAAGACCCACATAGCATATATGTATAAATTTATTAATATGTTTTTAATTCAAATACATTTTGTCTTTCCACTTTGACAAATCTTCATATTAACCTTGCAGGTTAGGTTTGAATTAAGAATTCCTATATTCTTCAAGTCACATGTCAGAATATTTTAATGGACTTAGTCTACTCCACCTTCTGTGTCTAGTCCCTGCCTTTTTTTTTTTTTTTTCCACTCTGCACTCTGTTTTATACTCTTAAGAAGTAGCTTGAAGCCCATGTTGAGACCCTCTTAAGTCTGCAGTTCAGGTTCCATCCATCCTTCTTTAGGAACGAGACCTAGAGAATAAAGAGGTCCTTGCAAGCCTTCAAAGCTAGGCTCACTGCTATTTAGGTGAAAAAATTCTGGGTCCTGATAATTCAGAGTATAGTCTATGGCAGAGTTGTAGGCTAACAATATACATGGTCTTTGGCTGCCTCGGTCTCTTCTTGGAGAGGGGTATGGCTGAAAGAGAACTAGATCAATTCCCTCTAAAGTTTGACACCCTAAAGATAAGGTGTTCTCTTGCTTGTGTTTGCACATCGCTCATTTATTTAAAATTTTTGACATTTAATGGAAGAAAAAATATTGATTCAGATTATAAGTGAGAAATAAAAGACTTCAGAGAAACTAAAAGTATTTGTACATGATTACATGAGCAGCAAATATAAGGAGATTTGAACTCAGATCTGGCTGATTCCAAAGTATTTATTTTTTCTCTATTTCTACCACTCCCTTTCAAAACAACCACTAATGCATAGCATACTTAATGATTGCCTTACAGGCATCTGTTAGTTTGATGATATAGAGGTGAATATATGAAATGGTTTCTATGGCCATGTCCTTGCTCCAAGACTAACTTTTGGGAAGTGGACTTGTGTGTGGGAATCTGGAAGAAAGCTAGTACAGCTTACTGAGATACTGAATGCTGGTTTGGTTTTTAAGAAAAGATCTCTCAATAGCATCTTCCTTTAATATTTGCTTTAATATTTGTCTTCCTTTAATAATCTGTCTTTCAGCTAGCTTGATTATTGAGGGCCAGATACAAAATTCTTAATGTTTAGTATTTTCTTTTTACTTTGGGCCTCTTAGAAAGAAATAGTATAGTGTTATGGACAAGGCTATGGACTGTGAACAAATCTTGTGTTTAAATTAGGGCCCAATGTGAGGGAACTTCCTCAGATGATAGAAATGTTATATATTTTGATGGAGTTTTTGCTACACAAATGAATGCAATTGTCAGAACTTATCCTGATTGTCTCCGAATGTCTTTAACTTAGTAAATTAAGTACTTTAAGTTTTGTATTTTTTAGTTTTATCTAAATTTAGTATTATTCAAAATAATTTTGGATGGAAAAATAATCCTTATAATGTAGAAGGATGTAAATAAACAATAGCTACTGACTTTCCCAATTCACTCCTCAAGGAATCATTATTAACAAGTGTTTGGATTTGAGAATTTTTGAGATTTTCTATGTATGGAGAAAATACATTTTTTCAACATAGCCACACATTGATGGAGTCAAATTGTACAGTATATCTATGACTTCTTACATTTGATGTATTATGGACATTCCTCCTGATGTGCAAAAATCCATAGCTCCTTTTTGGCTGTTGTTTAAAACTGTAATAAAATTGTACCATTTTAGCTATTTTTAAACATATACATTCACACTATCGTACAGCTACCACTACAGTGGTATATATCTATATAGATCCATCTTTACAACTGCATATTCTTCCCCACCTGAAACTTTATATTCTTGAAACATTAATTCCCCGTTGATTTTTTTATTTCTCAAGCCTCAGGCAACCACAGTTGTACTTTATGTCTTTATTAATTTACCCAGGGAACCTCCTACATGAGGAATCATTGTGTCTGTTTTGTTTCAGGATTCGTTCATGTTATAGCGTGTTGTCAATTTTTTTTTTCCTTTTTAAAGTTGAGCATATTCTGTGGTATATGTATACCACATCTTCTTTATGTATTAGTTGATACACATTTGAATTGTTTCTGCCTTTTGAATAATGTTCTTAGGAACATTTATGTACAAATACCCTTTCAAGTCCCTGCTTTCTTTTTGTATATCCAAAAATAGAATTGCGAGTTATATGATAATTCTATGTTAGACTTTTGAGGAGCCACCATACTGTTTTATACAGTGATTGCATTGTTTTGCATTCCCACCAGTGCTCGGGACTCCCATTTGTTTTGATCCTTGCTAATACTTGTATTTTCTGGGCATTTTTTTAATAGTAATTATGGTGAAGTAGTACCTCATGGTGGTTTTGCCTTGTATGTCCTTAATGATTAGTGATATTGAGCATCTTTTCATGTGCTTTTTGGCCATCTGTGTATCTTTATTGGAAAAGTGTTTATTGAATTCCTTGGTCCATTTTTGACTGGGTTAATTATTTTTTATTATTGAACTTTAGGAGTTCTGTATTGTTCTCCTTCTGTGTGTTGTTATTTACTCTCTTGATAGTGTCTCAGTTTTAAAATAAGGTGAGAGCTAGTCTGTTTTTCTTGTTTGTACTTCGGTGTCATATCCAAAAAAAATCATTGCCAAATCCATGCCATAAAGCTTTCCCATATGTTTCCTTCTAAGTGTTTTACAGTTAATTCTTAAATTTATTTTTTAAAAATTTATTTTCATTTACTTATCACACAATAAGTGGGCTGTAGGTCAGAGGTGGGGGGGGGGGTTGAGGATTCACCAGAGACAAAGTAGGAAGCAGAACAGACAGATCCACTGAAATACAATGCTAAGGGGAGCAGTGGGTAAGGCAGGACATCTGCTGATCCATGTATATCACCTCCTTGGCCGGGGTTTGAACTCATGCTGCAGTGGTTGGCAATAGCTTCATAACACAAACTTAACCCCTGTGCCATAGGGAGGCCCTTAATTCTAAATTTAAATTCTTAAATTTAGATCTTTAGCTTAAATTTTTACTATATGGTATAAAGTAAGGGTTCAATTTAATTTGGGGGGAGAATCAATATATTTAGTGCTATTTGTTGAAAAGGGCA